CTTTTTTGGTGTCTGTACCGAGAAAACACCCAAAATGAGTCATCCATCATTATCCTGCAGTGGGAACAACAAACACATTTCCTACTTTCTTACTTCCAGTCCTTTGAGGATTAGCAACCTTTAACCGTTGTTATCAGTTTGACCCTGACAATAAGTTGCGCAAATGAACGTGTTCAATCCCTTTCTGACTCATCCCCATCCAACCTTAGTGTTTACTTAGGAATGCACACACAAATTGCTTTGTGTTCCTTCCTTCAACAGTGTCTGTTGGAGTATTTTGCTGGAGAGAAAAAGGAGTATCCCTTAGTACGGCTTTATCTCTGCCTGTCTTGCTGAGCAAGCAGGGAAGAGGCAGGTTGACAATCAGGGCATCAGCGTTAATTTAGAAATTTCCCTTTTCCACACGTACTTTCGACCATCTTTTCAGCATTATCATTCTAGATAACGTTAACTTTCTGCCGTTAATGGTCTTGGCCACCTTTCATTTTCATTTGTGGTTTCTATTCTGCATGCTCAAGCATGTACAGAATGCTGCTGCACACTTCCTGCATTTAAAGAAAAACCTCAGAGATGGTTAAAATCTCCTTTGATTTTGAAACACTTCCTTGACTTGCTCTTGATGATGATTTGATAATGTCTATCGCAGGAGAGATCTGTGATACTCAATTTGGGGCTTAAAAACCCTCTTAGGACAAGAAAGTGCCTACAGATCAGGATAAATGTTTAAGAAAATCAGAGTTATGTTGAAAAGAGAGGCTAGCCATTGCCATTATATAATCACTTGGCAAAGGACCTTGTGAAAAAACGAGGTTGAGTGTGTTTTCTTTCTTGCTGTTGAAAACAATAGGACAGGATGAGGTGTTAATAATAATTTATTTCAGGACCTTCCAGCTGGCAAATTGCAAGGCAATTCCATCCTGCCTCCCAGTGATTTGAGATGCCCCGTTATGCGCCTGTGCTTGCCCAGACGCTCCGCATTCAGAGCCCTGTGAGTTGGCAGTGTGTGTCAGCAGCAGTGCGAAGTTTGGTCGGCCTCGAGTAGACGGTGCCATAAATGTACACAGCGCTTGGCAGGGAACAAAGCCTGTGTTTGGTATATACAGCCTGCCCACATAGTAGTGTGAAAAAAGACTTGATTTCACTGGAAAAAATTAAACAGGAAGGAAGATGAAGGGAGATGATAAGAATCATGAGAAGAACTTGACAGAGCTAAGAATGAGAATTCAGTGGGGAAAAAATTTACAAAACAGTTTTAAGCGTAAGGAGAGTTTGTCAAGGGTTTATGTCTGTGAAAGTAAGAGGACCAGAGCTGCAGTTTTCTGACAGAGCCCAAACCAGCTCTAATCCCGGTGCTGCTGGGATTTACCAGCCTGCAGCTATGTTCACAGTAAGAGGTTGTGCCTCACCGGAGCTCTCAGGTTGCAACTGAAGCTACCACACCGCTCTTTACGCCTGACCACATGAAAACGATCATAATTTGTGTCCAGGCCTTAGCTTTGGGCTAAGTGACAGCATAGGTTGCAGAGATGCCCGGTCTTGACTGATTGAGGGCTTCTCTGCAGCAGGGCTTGCTCTGGAGCAGACGTTGATGATGAGCTGCCTGCGTGGACACATTTATTATGTAATAAGAGCAATATCCAGGGGGGAAATCTGGAATAGCTGTTCTGCTTTACTAACCTCGCCTTAGTCCGGGTAAATTCATCTGCATACGCACGCAAATACTCCCAACAGGTGGGGAATCTGTGTTGTCTGTGAGCCTCACCCCCGCGTAGCTTCAGTCCCGCTGCACCCAGACGGCAGCGGTACCCCAAAGCTGCGTCTGACCAGCGCCCGAATGTTGCAGACATCTCTGCAAGCTTACGAATATTGCCAGCTAACAGGAACGCAGCACAGCATCTCCTCTCTGACGACTTCTCCAGGGTGTGAAAGTGGCAGCTGCTCATGTGAAGAAAAGACAGGAGTTGTGGGATGTCTGATTAAATTCAGGTTGCTTCAGCACCTATCCTGCCACATATTTAGCGCAGCACCAGCATCCACAGTGAAACGGGAAGACTCCGTGTTGTGTCCTCTTCCTTATGTGAAAGCAGTGATCGTAGGCACTGGTTTTAATTGCATTAAAACAGTTGCATTCGTTTTTTTTTTCTTGAAAACTTCTCACTTCAAGTTAAATCTTTGCGTAGACAAGTCCTATAAATCAAAATCTTAAATACCTTTTTTTCTGCATTTTTACCATCCCACCGTACACCAGCTTCACTTCTTAAACCACTTGGAACATAGGAAAAACATACCATGTCAGTCCAACAGTCCATCTAATTCAATGTCCAGTCATCAGCAATGACTAATAGAAGATGCTAAGAAGGAGAATAAATAATATAGAGTAAGAGGTATAGAAGTACCTCACATTTGATTATTTTCCTTTATATCTCAAAAATTTAGAAAAAAAATGAAGCGAATGTGGAACTTCACCAGAAAGATGACTTTGGATTCCCCTTGAGGTGACATTTTTTTGATGCTCTTGTTCTCAGGTATGTGGCATATTGTTTTGTTTGGTTGGTTTCAGGCAAAAATCTATTCGCTCAGAAATAAAGCTAAGGCACTATTAACATTTAAATGCGAAAGGAAAAGTAAAATCTAAGCATCAGGCTGACTGCTTGAAGTTTTGAATTACATGCCCAGACACGTAACATGTATAACAGAGGATCCATGCAAAATACGCATTTCTCTTTCAAATTCCGAATTTAGTCATACAAGAGATGGGATTGTGGAGTTATATTCATTACTGTTTTTACTGCATTACAGTCTTAAAATGAAAGTCAACATTAGAGGATAAATGTTATTCTTAGCTTAAAAATGAAAGCTTAAGGGTAAGAAAGCAAGCAACTTTAATTCTATCACTCTATTCTTATCCACTACATCTCCTATTGGACACCTTCATCTGCTACCTGACATCTTCCTTACAAGCAGCTGAACTTTTACTTTTATGAGGATGTAATTGTACATTCTTTTCAAGGGTTATCAGTTAGAGTTGGCTTTTATTACCTCCCAGGAGAATGCCAGAGCTCATTTGTTCTTGTCTGAACCACTAATATTCTAGCTTAAAAGCAGCACAAATGCAACTCACCAGTTTCTGGTACAAGAGCAATTCTCATTATTCATTGTTATGCATTACGTGATGAATCTATGACCCTGGCTTTCCACAACCTCTCCTAGACATACGTGCTGGCAAAGGTCAGCAAAAAGGTGACAAAGGTCTGCCTGTGACCGAATACCTGCCGCGTGCAGCGAGTCCACGTCAGAAGAGTGCTGAGATGTCCTAAGTGAGATGCAAAGGAGTTGATCAGCTCTGATCTGCTGCTAGATTCACCCACTTTGTGTCAACTTCTTTTTTCCTCCCGTGAGACCTTCTAGTCTTGGTGCTTCCTATCTCTTTCTTCCTTTTCTCTTTCTCCTTCCTTTCACTCTCACACTCCAAGCGATACCCACCTCCTAAAACCTCTCAGTGCTGCACTTCTTATTTTGTCTCAACGTTATTTTGCTTTTATCACATACTGTTTGACCTTTGCCTGCATGCCCTTGGATCTGTACTCTTTATTATTTGCTCTTCACCTTTGTCGTGTTTCATATTCCATTTACAGTCTCCAGTTTCAACTATGCTTAAACACTTTCTGTACTCTTCTCACCAGTGTAAATGTAAGGGAATGCCATCAGTAAAATGGCATAAAACACCGGGACAAGTATAGCCTAGAGAAGAGAAGGCTCAGGTGGGATCTCATCAATGTGGGAGGCTCAGGTGGGATCTCTTCTCCCTCCCTGAAGGGAGGGTGCAAAGAGGATGGAGCCCGGCTCTTTTCAGTGGTGCCCAGTGCCGGGACCAGAGGCAGTGGTCACACACTGAAACACGTTTCACTGTGAGGGTGACTGAGCACTGGCAGAGGTTGCCCAGAAGGTTGTAGTATCTCCATCCTTGGGAGATATTCAAAAGCCGTCCTGCACAACAGGCTCTGGGTGGCCCTGCGTGAGCAGGGGGTTGGACAAGATGACCTCCAGAGGTCCCTTCCCCCCTCAGCCATTCTGGGATTCTGAAATCAGCTCTGCTTATCTTTGTACTTGAGGCCGTTAGAAAATTACTTCCCTCTAGCAGCAATAGTAGAGAGGAGTAACAGTTCTTTCTGCATGAGCTCACCAGGGTGACACAGCTGCACATTATTGCTTTTAGAGAGCTGGAGGTAGAGGCACAGATTTGCTGTCAGGCTGGGACTTACAGAATTGGATAGCATGAGTACAGAGTGAGCCGATTCACTCCACTGTAAATGGACCTTTTCCTCCCACCTGTAAAAACATGGTAGCTGCTATACTGCCACCAGGAAAAAGTAGCCCTTGAGTTTGAAGGCTGGGCTGGTAGCACTCAGCTCTTGCTCATAGATACCTGTGAGCTTATTTAAGTGATGCTTATAACAGATGTTGAGTCACACAGCATGACAGGTAGTAAATGAGTGCAGATATTAAAGTGATTTTAGGTCATTTCCTCCACATCTGCCCAGTTGATTGTAAATGGAAGTTAGAAGCTCCACAACAGCCGCTATCAGTTAAACTGTCACTACTGGGACACGTTCTCTGTCAGCCTCACTAATTCTAACATGGTGTTATGACACAAGGGTAAGAAGAAAATAGAGTCAGTTATTCACAGTGACCCATTTGACCTTATTCTGGCAGCAATAAATGTTGAGACATGTAGTAAAGTGATACTACTGGTTTCTTTTCTCATGATCTTCTAAGAATTTCAGAATTAACATTTCTAGATGTCATTTCTGCTTATTTATGATTGCCTCTGTGCCATGAAGTCAAATGTTCACTTTGGGTTTGCAGGACAGGACTGAGAGCAATATCAAATTGCTGTTCTTGGAGCAGCTTGCCTCAAGAAAAGAAAAAACTTGGAGAAATCTTAGTAAACCTTTGTATTTGATTCCTCACAGTGTTTGGAGTTGGAAGTCAGCACTGAAATGTGGTGGTTTCAGCAAGGCCTCTCTTTCTTGCCTGTGGCTTTGGTTGTTTGGTCAGCTGCATCTTTTGTGTTTTCATACATTACTGCAATCGTCCTACACCACGTCGACCCTTTGGTGCCCTACATCAGGTTAGTAACTTTCATAATGGCCCCGTTAACTGTACCGTAGCATTGAATTGGCCTCTCACTCCTGTGAATTTTTCCCTGACCCCAAACTTTAAACAGCAGTTCTTACCCAACAGCTCCAGTTCTAAAGTTCCTAGCTGTTTATAGTTATTTGTGCATAACTCTATATAAAGTTGTCTATTTTTGTGCAAAAGTCTAACCTTTAAGCTGTGGCTCTGTGAACATATCCTTAAAATGATGATGAACAAGAAAGCTGGGGGTGCGTCTCCAACCCTCTGTTCAGAGTAAAGCATCTTGCTGTCACCAGGTTTGGTTGCACCAGTAAATCCATACTATAATCTATATTCCCAAATGCATTGCATCAAGGCTGTACATACAACCTTAGTTTCGGTCTTTCAGTTTTTCAGGTTCTTCATTTTTCCAGTTTTAATACTCTTTATTCACCTTTTATGGACTCAAGATCAATATAAAAGGAATAATTATACCAAGTATGTTCATTCCTTGTTCTAAGGATAGCATGTCTTTACCATGCTTATTTCTACAGCTCTAAAACTTGCACAGTATAATTTGAGTAATGAAAAATACAGTAAAAAATATCTGGAAGGGTTTTGGGGTTTTTTTTGTTGTTGTTGTTGTTTGGTTGGTTTTTTTAAACAAACCTGTTGCTTATGGTTCCTTTGTAAACTGAAATAAGTACAGTTGTGTGGCAAGTATTTTCAGTATAGATAGATACATATCACTCCATTTATCTCTTCCAGTGACACAGGGACAATACCACCTGAAAGGTGCTTATTTGGGATCATGTTAAATATTTCGGCTTTCTTGGGTGAGTATAGAAAGCTGTCCTTGGCGAACTGCAGGCAGTTCTGGAATGCACACAGTTTTAAACAATTTAATTTCCTTATTCAGGTCACTAGCCCGTAATTCTCAGTCAAAAACTAAATTCTAAGCAATCAATCTTAATTCTCTTAAGCAATTCAGAGGAAAGTGTATGTCAGGGATGATATCCCCAAAGCCAGCATGATAATTGCAAATTCCAGAAAGCCAAAAAGGTGTTTAAAAAACTAGTAAAAGAAATAGAAATGCAAATTCAAGGCAGTCACCTTACTTGTTCTGCAATTATGGAGACAGGGAAAAACAACCTAGTATGTCTTTCAAATGAGAGAGATCAGAAAAATCTAGTAAGTTGACTTGTTTACCATTATATTATTTCAGTTTTGGCTTCCAGATTCTCAGCTTTCCTATTTCAGTGTACCATAAGACAGTTTTTGTATTTTAAATAGTTGCCTCTGTCACTCAGCATCTTCCCAGTTAAAAAAGGACAGTCTACTGGTCAGCTGAAAATCTTACTGCATTTGGGTTCTTCATTAACAGGTATGGCTACCATGTATGTCCGTTATAAACAAGTTTACGCTTTGAATCCAGAAAAATCCAAGATCATCAAGCTTAATAAGTTTGGCCTTACACTAGGATTGATGAGCTGTTTTGGACTTTGCATTATTGCAAATTTCCAGGTTTGTGCTTTGCTTGCAATGTTCTGAAGCTGTCCAGAGTTGTGTGTGTGTTTGTTTACTGAGAGAGCTGATAAAATTGGGATTTTACTGAAAACAAAACTTTTTGGGGCAAATCTGTTTTTTGTCAAATTCCCTACAGAAAACTGTAAAAAATTTAAGGTTTGGTTTATAATTTCTTACTTATTTCTTACTTGCTTTATCCACTGGGATTTGTGAGCAGCCATTCATGAAATTCCAAAACATTAAACCCCATGAGTTTTGCAGAAAGCAAACTCATCTTGGATCTCCTTATAGGAGATTTGAAAGCCCTAGCTCCAGATTAAAAGACCACAACTATATTGAACTTCGAGTCAGGAGAATAAGAATCAAATAGTCAAAAACTGTTACAACTAGAAGTAAAGCCAACAAAAACACCCAACCCCACAAGAAGTCCAGCTCTGAAAAATCTGCCCTCTTAGGTATATTTTCCTTCAAACCTGTGCAATTCTTGAAAATACTGCAATATTAACTAGCTTTCGAATTTCTCCATCCCAGTGTCTCTATTTTTTTCCTCCCCGATACTTCCCACCCCCTCCAAAAAAAAAAAAAAATCTGGTATTCTCACATATCATACCGTCAGCAGGGCCGCATTCTACATTGTTGGCTGTTACATGCAAGACAGTTGTACAATTGCCAGCCTCATCATATTAATTACCTGCTCGATTTTTCAGGGGTCTGTAGTGGTGCCTTTAGCCACTAGAGGTAGCAATGTCACCTTGGTCTCCTGCCGGATTAGGGCCAAGGAAAAGCAAAAAGGGAAAGCTCCTGGACAGCTCCATCTTTTTCCCCCTCTCCTTTTCCCCTAGCACAGCTCTCCAAGTGCTTCAGCAGCCCCTATCTTAGAAACCTCAGCACACTCATTTTGGGGTTGTTTTTTGGGGGTTTTTTGTTTTGTTGGGTTTTTTGTTTTCGTGGGGTTTTGTGTGTTTTTTGTTTGTTTGTGGGGGGGTTTTTTTTTGGAGGCCTCAGTCTGTTTACTTTTTTCTAGAGCCCTAGCTATACCCAGAGGTCACAGCCTCCCCTACCACACCCACCAAGCAAAAGCCTCCAGGCTGTGTTCAACTCCATGATTTCCCTCCACCACTGGTCAGGAGAGAGCATGTGTGCTTTCTGTATATTTCAAGATAATCAAAATATAGAAGGTGCATGTTAATTTGTTAACTAGTTTGTGTAACATTTAATCTTGAGCAAGACAAAAATTGGAAGTGATGTACGTGCGTATCCCAGTGATGCTGAGGACTGCTTGAGGGCCACCCCAGAGGCAAAAGGAGCTAAAGTCCCCTGGAATCCGCTAGTTTCTGAAGACAACTGAAGTGTGAAAATACACAAAGATGAACAAAGGGGATATGGGAACAGCCATCGCACAGAGAGCCTCAGACGGCTCTCACTGCTGGGAGTCAAGGCAGTAACACAGGGCTCATCCTCATGGGAGATTTAATTCATGCTGTTCAGCCAGTACTATTGCTTTATTCTAGCTGTGGCAATTGATTTCCTCTCGTACAGGGCAAAGATTTCTCTCTGATGACACCTCATCACTGAACAGCACATGATTTTGGAGCACATGCCTTTGCAACTTGGTTATTCACAATTTAAATATAAATTCCCACCTCTCTTATACTGTGGATGCAGCACTTCACGTTCATTTGTGCACATAAGGTGCACGTGGAGGTTGTGAGGAAAAGGTGACTCCAATTCCTGATCTTAATAGTTACTCAGTAAAATACACAGGCAGTCTCATGCTTTAGGGCATAAAAGATCACCTGCACGATGGACTGCAGGGAGGCTGCCAGGCCTTGCACTGCACAATTGGCAAGATAACACTTTTTAGTTTCTGTCTTTGGGTACTGTGCTTACCCAGGGATGAGAGGAAAGAACTGAACACAACATAATTTTTCAGGGCATAAATTTTAAGTTGGGTTGTTTTTCTTGGAATAACTTCTAGTTTTAATGATTTTTACTATTTGATAGTTGATTCTCCTATAGTGTTTTTTAAGTTAAGAAGTATTACTGCTTGATTTAACCTTGTTCCCTCTGAGTACTCAAAGATACTAATTTGACAAACAAGGCTTATTCAAACTAGAGTAATTCAGAGAAGCACTAAACCTCGTTATTTTAATCCCATTTTGGGTACTAGAACTGTGCGTGTTTATCCTGCATTGCATCATCTTTCATACATGTACAGATTCCTGGGATAGAAATGCTCAGTAGATAGCCTGTTGTCACTCATTACTTGCCCAACTGCAGGGATTCCTTCATCCAGTTTCTGTATTACTGTCCATTATGGCTAATGAGGACAGCTGTTATAAATTCCTGTAGTTAAGATATAGGTGTGACCTGTAACTTAGACATAAGAACTTAACAAAAGCAGTACAGAGGGCTGGCAGGTGCTGGCTTCCAGCTAACTCTGTATGGGGTTTCCAAGAAAAATCTCCTAAGTACTAGCACGTTCCAGAACTGCTTAGCTTGGGATGCGAGAAGGTAATTGAGTGGGTGGAGTGCCAAAGGTTTACAGAAGAAAATTGCTCTCAGAGTTTAAAATGAAAACAGGTTCTACACAAGCAGTGCTTTCTTTCCTTTTTTTTTGAAATGTATTCTGTACTACATACACGTGGTTGGAGCCTGCCTGACATTCGGAGTGGGGGCGACTTATATGCTGGTTCAGACCATCCTATCCTACCTGATGCAGCCAGAAGTTCACAGCAAGGACATCTTTTGGATCCGTCTGACCACATTACTCTGGTGTTGTTCAAGCATTGTGAGCAGTATCCTTTCGCTGTGCAGCATCACTGTAAAACAGAGCAGCCTTCGCAAATGCCAGGATTTGCATCTACATTAATTTAACCTACCAATGTGAAAGGCTGTGGCACAGAAGGCCTGTCATCTTTACACATACAGCTTGTATCGTGCTATCTATTCATATTCTGTATTGCAACCCGGGAACTTTAGGAAAAAGGGAACCATGAGGTTAAGCCCACAAGTGAGTCACTGGATAATAAAAAAAGGTAAGAGAGATGGTTACCACCCTTTCTCCTCTCCTTTCCTTCAGCACACCAGAGACTGAAAAAGGCAAAGTAAGAGTTTATCTTATTTTTAAGAGGTCTGACTGTGGATCGTGAAAGATGGGGAGAAAGGGAAGTGTACTTAAGAGATGGATGGTTTTAATGGGGGGGAGAAAAGCCAAGTAAGAAATAAAAGTGTCTGGTCC